CTCCATTCTTTGAAAATAGCATTAAATAGAAAACTAAAGAAAACGAACAATATTTTATTTCCGATTTATATCTGATATAATTCACCAACATTACGACTAAGTTTTTTTTCACCGTAATTGTTTACTTATCTCTCTCATCATACGGCAGATTGTCAATGTTTTATTATGTTAGAAGGCAATCATCCTATTGTCTATTACCATTTTCCTACTAAAAATATTTTTATAAAATTCTTTTTAATTCAAATTTAAATTACTAAAATTAATTTCTGTTCTAAAATTAGTTTTTCTTCTTTTTCGTTATATGACTGATTTTGGAGAACCTAAGCCTATTGATCTCCCATTATTGCTGATTCTAGGAATTTTCTTCTGAGTTCCTGATGCCAATGATTATGGTGTAATCCATTTATAGTTTACTCTTTTTCTATTTACTAGTTCATTTCTTGCATAAATCCTATTCTTTGATCTGTATTCCGGCATTGTTATAATATGACTAACCAATTTTAATATCTGTGTTTTCATAATATCTCCATTCCATAAATTTATATTTTAATATTATTATTCAAAATCATGACTGAAACAAATTATTCAACTTGAAAATGATTTTATAAATAATAAAATTACAAAATATTTATTTCATAAGTATTAATAACTATATATAGTACAATAACTAATTCTATATTCATTACTTAGCCATATACAGTGGACGTCCAATATAACGAATTTTATGTTGTACCCCTTGTTCGTTATATCGAAAAATTCGTAATATCGAATGTTATACATTTACCTACCAATATGGTTATTTTTAGGAGATTTCATATATTTGAGTTCATAAATTAACTTATAAACACGTACGAGTATATATTTATTTAAAAGTATTTTTTATTCGGTTGTTACAAAAATTATTTATAAGAAAGGACGCATTCAATCATAGTGTAGAGTAAAAAAAATCATTAATTTTTGTTTGTTTTTTACTACACTCAAGACTTTTCTGAACAGCTTTTTCTTGTAGTTCTCTTAGTACAGCTAATTTTGAAGTTTCATTATTGTTAATCGCCCACTTTATGCATTTTTCGAAATGATTTTTGGCATCTTTATGTTTAATAATTTCTAAATTATTTTCTTCTATATTTTCGTCATCAGATCCATTATCCTCGTCCGAGACATCGATGGTATTATCAGCATTATTCCATTTATTAACTTCGTATGTACTAATGTCACACTAACAATAAATAGTTAGATAGTATTGGATAGTATTTCGTATATGATAAATGGAATTTGTGAACAACAGATCAGTGGCGCCTGCATATATGCATTTTGCCATATATAGGCTTTTTTCTCAGAAAAAAAAAAACGGACAATTACATGCATATTCTAAGCTGAATAATGCTAGTTTTATAGTAAAATTATATTCAAAAGCATAATTTGTATAAAACAAAAACGAATAAGAAACAAAAAATTTTTTGTTCGTAATATGGAGCAGAATTTTTTTTTTCGTTCGTTATATAGAACAATCAATGTAAATATTTTGGGTGTTCGTTATATCGAAAATTCGTAATATCGAGCGTTCGTTATACTGGACGACCACTGTATTTCTTAATGGCGATATTCATTTATAAATCTGATTTAAATACAGTTGAAACTGCTTGGAATGTTAACGAAGCGTAATACTTAATTACACAAATAATTGTATTAATATTAATTTATTCATGAATAAACATAAACTTAAATAATATGTTTATTTATATATGTATATATACATATATATGTATTTATTTATATATAGTATTATTATTACAAGCGTTAATGCACTTCAACGATGCAAACAACCGTAAAAGTCAATTCTCAAGCACGTGATAACCTTAACCCGTTTACCTTGATTAGATATAAATACAAAGTACATATATAGATACATCTATTTACATATGAAGAGTGCAAATACTAACGAATAAAAACAACATAGGTAGAAAAAAGAAAACAATTAAACACGTAGTAACAAATTACCCACAAAAACGTTTGAAGCATAATTTAAATAATTTACTAAATGCTAAAAAAGTAATTACAGTACTAAATTCAGTGCATTTCCATACTGCATTTAAAAAAGGGTTGTATAGGTAAAGAGATATAAATTTACATTAATCTCTGAAACAAGCTTGAAAAAAGTATTAATTTTATTCTCTTACCTACTTACTTAGTTGGCCGTTGCCGACGTGAGTCATTCTTGACCGCGTGCACTAACCAGTTGATAGTACCAAGCGGCCACATATTTTTTTATTCTCTACATTATATAAATCCTACTTAACAACTGTTGAATATACTCCATCGATTTATCATCATAGGTCAATAACCATTCCTATAGCTGCAAGCCCATGCTTTCAGTGTATTGGCGACATATCGTTCACTGCTGAATCTTACATTCAACATCTCAAGTAAGCACAGCGAATTCTCACATCTATCTTGTGATTATATCGACTCCATCACAGGTATACCGTGCTCTTGTGCTCATAGAAGCTGACGAGGAAGAGTTTTTTTAGTTTCTGCAAATCTGGCGTACTACCACTTTAAATACCTTGTGACAATGCTTTAGACACTTTTCAACCTCTTCTCTAGGGAAAAAAAATAAAAATATTATTATTAATTTTATTATTGTTATTATTATTATATAGGCATATCAAAACAAATTGTATCGAGGTCATTGCGTTAAAATTAAAGAATTTACGTCACCCCTATAAAACCAACGGGTCCCCAAAACAGACTTTAATTTAAATTTTATAATTTTAACTAAATTGAGTTATAAGTTATAGTTTACAATTTAATATGATTCTTAACAGTTGAAAGCTACCAAGAGTTAGCCTCTTTTTTGGATAGAATCAGGTATATCGTTTGTTTACTCATTCGTTTACTTAATACCATCATCCCTTTTTTATAAGATCATTTTCTCAAATAATTTTAATTAAATATTAATTAATATTTAACCACTGGGAACACCTAAACAATCTGGGCATATCATTGACATCATACAAACTGACACTGAGTTCTTCCTGTGCCGAATTTTTTAACAAAAGATGGGAAGACTCAACAATATACAGGCATTTGTATGCAATTTGGTCACGCTCCAAAAGAAGTCTTATAATAGGTTTACTTACAGGTCATTGTAGTTTAGGTAACCATGGTAGGAGACTAAATCTCCCTTTCAATTATACCTGTCACAGTTGTGAAGAAAACGATGAAAGTGCCTTCCATCTGCTTTATTTCTATCCAGCAAATGCGCAGCGCCGCCTTATCACTTTAGGGTAAGTGATACTTTCTTTTTTGATAATCTTGACGAAGTGCAAGACGGCGCTCTTAATAGCATTATAAGCTTCGCCAAAGGTTCTAAATGGTTCTAACCCTTGAGTTTTTAATTATACGGCAATACAATGAACCTATTGGCCTAAATGGATCCCTTGTGATCGCTGGTATAACCTAACCTAACCTGAACTAATTAATATTTAAAATGATTCGACGATGAGCCTGAAGATATGAGGGCAATATCGCGTTACCAATGTCTAACTAAGAAGAGTTTTCATTTTTTTGTGTGAAATATTCGGCTAGCCTATTTTTAGCAAGTAGCGGATTTGTTATATTCGTTAATTTTTTTTTTAATTTTACTGTTGTTTCTTATAGAATAAAAAGGCAAAGGAGAGAACGGGAATATCTATTTTAGGTACTCTATATATTATATTACATCTTCTAATATGTATTCTATTATATCTTCTAATACATATTCCATTATATATTCTAATATGAATTCTGCTATATATTTTATATTTAAAATCATATTTAATTATATATATGAATTCTAAAAAAACTAATCCAGACTATAGAAATACTCATATATCTATATTAATTCTCAATCTTAATAATATATCAATATAAATTTTCTTATATCAAAAGTCATGCAAATCTTAATAACTAAATACTTCAAGTACTTTTTTAAAGTATTCATGTTGGATTATAAAAATAATGTACTTCTAATTTATATTCCACTTGAATAATATAAAGTAAAACGATAATAATGAGCCTCACACTGATGAGTTTAAGTAATAAAATCTCGTTAACAATTCTAAGACCAACCAAGAAGAGCATGAAAAGTCACTACTGCCTTTGCCACTTCCTCTCCATTTGATTAACTTTTAACCTCTAATTTGCTTGTTAGCATTTGTAGAAATTTATTATTTCTAATAACTTTAAACTTCAAAGTCATAAATATTGCATAAATTATTCTGTTTTCAGTTAAAACTTTCAGAACTGTGGACTTAAGCTTCCACCCACCCAAAATAATTCTCCTCTATGAAATAGGCGCTTTTCATCGCATCGCCGTTGGTGGTATAATTTACTATTAGCACAAAATTAGCCAACTGTTCAGTTAAGTTAATTTCTCTGAAGTTTCGTAATTTGAAATTTTAATGCGAAAACATAATTTTTGAATATATACAAAATAAATGAGATATTTATAAAATTATGCTCATTTATATAAAATACAAAATGTACTTTGATTAAAGCAATAATTTTGAATATAATTGCGCTATTTAGTGGGAGTAATTCTGCACTTAAGTGAAGGAAGAAATACATTTTTAAAGATAGTCAAATATATCTGCTTATCTTTTTTATACAAGTAGAATATAAACTCGAAAATACAGTAAATTCTATACCACATCAGCTCTATTTTCAAGCTCTATATCTTTTTATTTCAAATTATACTGAATATATACTGTAATACTGTAG